CACATAAAGGGAGATACTGATGGCAATACTATAATAGAGAACTTTAACACCTCACTTACATCAATGGGCAGATCAAACAGACAGAATATCAATAAGGGAACACTGGCTTTAAATAACATGTTAGACCAGATAGACTTAATGGATATGTACAGAACATTCCACCCAAATATAGCAGAACACACATTCTTTTCTACAGCACATAGAATATTCTCCAGGATGAATCACAAGACTCAATAAATTTATGAAGACTGAAATTGTATCAAGCATCTTTTTGACCACAATAGTATGAAACTAGAAATCAATATAAGAAGAAAACTGGAAAAAACACAAATACCTGGAAGCTAAACAACACGCATTTAAACAACCAATAGGTCTATGAAGAAATCAAAGAGGAAGTAAAAAAATACTTTGAGACAAATCAAAGTGGAAACACAATATTCCAAAGTCTATGAAACTAGGCAAAATCAGTTCTAAGAGGGAATTTTATAGTGATATAGAACTACCTCAGGAAACAAAAACCCCATGCTTATATGGTCAACTAACTTACTACAAAGGAGCCAAGAATATGCAGTGGGGAAAAGGCAGTCACTTCAATAAATGGTGTCAGGAAAACTGGACAACTACATGCAAAGGAATGCAACATATACAAAAATAATGTGTACTGTTAATGATATTGTAAACTGGTGCAGCCACTATTGAAAACAGTATGGAGGTTCCTCAAAATATTAAAAATAGAAGTAATCATATGATCCAGCCATTCCACTTCTGGATATCTACCTGAAGGAAACAAACATATTAATTTGAAAAAATATATGCATCCGTATGTTTGCTGCACCATTATTTACAATAGCTAAGATAGGGAAGAAATCTAAGAGTCCACCACTGGATGAATGGATAAAGATGTGATATTCCATTGTGTGAATATTACTCAGCCAAAAAAAAGAGCAAAATCTTGCCACCTGCCATAACACGGATAGACCTAGAGGGTATTATGCTAAGTGAATAAATTACAGAAAGACAAATACCATGATTTCACTTATATGTGGAATCTAACAAACAAAACACAACAGGAACACACGCAGAGGCAGAGGAAAAACAAATAGTTAAGGATGGGGGAATTTTTGGTGACACTGGTAAAGGGGCTTAAGAGATTCAAACTTTCTGTTATAAAATAAGTAAGTCATGGGAATGTAATGTGCAGCATAGAGAATATAATCAACAATATTGTAATAACTCTGTACAGTGACAGACGGTTACTAGATTTATCATGATTAATTTGTAAGGCATATGAATGTTGAATCACACCCTCCAAACTAATGTAATATTATACATCAACTATACAATATTATATTGTACGTTGTGGAGTCCAACAATAATGTGTATCTGCAAAGATAAAAAGATACTGAAATTTCTTCTGATCATCCAAAGGAAATGACATTGTTTTCAAACCAGTTTGACTACTTTTTTATTGTTTCTTTGAAAACCTGTAATTCACAAATTATACACACACATAAATTTATATACATATAGCCACTATATGTCAGATAAGCAAAAGGGTCATTTCCTAATTAATGAATAAAGTATTCCTTATTGTAGTATGGTATGTCACAATTATTAATGATACGTTATTTATGCAATCTTTCTTTTAAAAACATCTGCTATGTGGAATGGAAAAAGATACTAGTCTAATTTACCAGAGAAACTCACAGAGATTTACTGGGTGGGGTTAATCATTTCATGATCAGTGCTGTAAACTACAGTTAAATAGCTGGCATGTTGTGATTTAGCACAAGCAGAACATGAAATTGAGACACATTTTATGAGTAAAAATGGCAAACAGAATGTGAATGCTACCTCCTTAATCTGTGTATTGAAGAACATGTGTTACCTTTTCTAAAAAAAAATCACAAACATGTTTTCTGGGACAGCAGAAATATACTATGGGACATTTTCAAACATCAAATTAGCATCTTCCAAAAAAGTGAATGTCTAAAAATAAAGAACCTGAACAAACTTCAAGGTATAATGAAATAATCTCCATCTGTGTTTAAGACTGGGAGATTATTGGAAACATGGTCCTTTTTGCCTGTTATATTTCATCTGAGTGCCTGAATATTATTTTTGAAAAAAGATGATTAATTAGAAAAAGTAGAAGGTTACAGCTAAGAAAAATATTAGTGGGTAAGGGACAATAATGTTGTAGGGCTATGAAAATGTTATATTATCCATCCCATTAAGCTCACAGTAAAAGATGAAATACAAAGTGAATTGTTTTATCTTTTTTGCGATGTACCCTCTGAAATACATACCAAGTATGCACAAACATATGCTCAGTAAAAAGTCTAAGGTTTCTTTAAGGAAACTGAAATTATTAATATGCCTCTGCTTTGGTAATCTATGTGTCTGTTATATGAAATGACAGTGGTCTGCACTGTGTGTAAAATCACCATGGAAACAGGAATAGAGATCAGTAAGGAGATTTTTAGTACATGCAGTCCTGTAACTAGTCTTTTACAATCCAGCATGCTATAACCTTACACTAGAGTCTCCTTGTCTGGAGTTGCTACAGTGTTTAGGGGTCTGTTCCTGTATAAAAGGCAGTATAGTGTGGATTTTGGCAGGACTCTTGGGATGGTAATAGTCGGCCATGTTAAGGCAGATGATACTCCCTTTGACAGTTAAGGGAATTGAGTATGTCACATTTCTTCCAACTCCAACCTATGATTTGAGGCAATACTCTCAAAAATATGAGTATAAAATTTTATCTTACAAGAACTTAACTTCCTGTCTGGCCATGGGACTCTCACCTCCTGTAGGACCACAGGCTCGGGGGGCAGTCTACTTGGCACAGAGCCCCTGCAGAAATATTCCAGTGCCTTCAATGGCTAAGAAGTAAAGCTCTCAGCCTAATTCTGGAAGGGGACCTGGAAAACAGTCCCCAGAAGATCTGTCCTCTTCAGTAACTTCTCTGACATACGAGACTCATTTCTACGCAGGTAACCTTATTATTGGAGGCAATGAGATCATTGGGAAATCCTGTTTCAGGATGAAAGTGTAAACAGGGTGATGAAACTATGGAGCATAAAAACACTCTTTAATCCACAGAAGACGTAGATGGATATTGACTGATATTTTAAGACTATCACAGATACTTGGAGTTTGTTGACTCAACTGAAAACTACTACATACCTATAATATCCTTTAAAAGTTGGGTTTTAATGAGAGTAAAGACTTAGGGGAAATGGGCAGAAGACCATGTTTCTTGAAACTATTTCAAGTCTGGTTTTCTTGAGTACATCTAGGTTCTTGGATCTTATGCACACTTATACCATCTTTAAAAAATTATTAAGATAGTGGCTCTTAAAACTTTTACTCATCCAGAAAACATTGTGTGAAAAGCCTTGGAAAACAGAAACCTTTATTATTGAAGTACCTTCTAGTTCATCTTAAACCTTGCTCTAAACATCAATAGTCTGCCTTGAAATCCACTGTAACAGCTCATCTACCTGAATTTAATTTCACAATTTAAGCAAACTTCGTATCTGTATCAACTGCTATAAAGTGCTTTATTTGATTTCTACAATAACAATCTGAAAAGTATGTTAGGCTTGTATGTCACAGAGAGACCCCCTGGTCATAAATATTTTCAAATTTCTGAATTCTGGTCAGGGAAGCAAAATGACTAGAAATACTTTATAGAAAAAAAATAGGAATTTTCACAGACATATTAAAATGAGTGTTTATTAAGTATTTTTAGTCTGGGTACTAATTAAAATACAGGTGTTACACCTACCATAAAAAATTTATACTCCATTATACCTATAAAGGAAAACTAGAAAAACAAGAAGTTTAGAAATATAAAGATGAAAAGAAATGGATCACACACATAAGTGTCCGACTTTAATAGGTGGCGGTCATAAAAGGCCATGGGGTGCTCACCTCCTAAAGAGCAAAGCAGAAAAAAGAATAAGGGATTTGCTGTGATGTAAAAAGTCTGAAGTCTACAGAAAATAACTGTTCAAAAATCACTCAAATATTTTTTCAAAGACAAACTTCATTCCTTCTAGGGAAAAAAACGTTACCAAAGATAGAAATGAAAATACTTGTTAGTGGGAGATATAAGATACATTCTTGTTAAAAAAAAAACCCCCAAAACAAAAATCTTCTTTTAAAAAAATCCATACGTATTCCCTATCAAAAGAAATAAATGGGTCTTGTGAAACTAGGTTTTCCCGTATGTTTCTACTGGATTATCATTTTTGGTAAAGATTATCAAGATAAAGCTAAATGCAGGCTACCTTTGGCATAAAAATGAAATGTGGAGATTTATTTATAAATTGTAGCCTTTTTAATGCTCCCCAAAGTAACCATTGTAAACTGGGGAAGCTGGCTCTGTGTGGTGAGGTGGCGGAAGTGGAAAAAGAGGAGCATTCTGACTTGACAATTTCTGTTTTATTTTAGCTAGTTAATAGGATATTTCTTCGCATATCACTAAAAGCAGGAGAAGATTTAAAATACTTATTTGACATGTTTGAATTAAGCATAAAATGTTAAAGGCTAAAACAGGATATTTGATTTTTACACAAAGTACTAACTTACAATTTTAAGCTTTTGGGGGATGTGTTCATATATCGTGAATAATTGGCTTGGGAGCATTCAGGTACACGTTGGCAAAAGCAGAATGCTAACATTCTTATTTGGTGGCTGCCACCCATGGACACACAGAGTGATAATGTGGGGTTCTCAGCTGATGCCCAGCATGTTACAGGTAATTTTGCTTAATAAGAATTCATCTAACCAAATTCCATCTACGTGGAAACTCAAGTGAAATAACACCCACTGGCCGGGGAGCGCACACCATCATCTCTTGTTGGTTTCATTCCTGTTAGGATGAACCCTCATAGTGTGGTCAACAGTTTGCTGGCTTCTATGCATCATGTCCCTCTGATGTACAATTTTAACCTCAATACTTTGAGTCCTTTGTTTAAAGAAGCTGTATGTAATTTTTTAAAATTAAGCTTTTTCAAACATACATAAAAACAGAAAAGCATAACTGACCACCCCAGATTTAATCATTACAACTGTATGCCACACTTCTAACACTCCATTTATCTTTCCCTTTCTTCTGTTACGGTATTCTAAAACAGACCCCTCACACCGGATCATCAGAACTCTAAATACTTCCCTATGTAGCTCTATTAAATAAGGACTTCACAACACTGCCATTATCCCATAATGCCATACAATGAGTTCATATTAAAAATTTTCCTGATGTCTCAAGAAATGTCTTTCTTCAGTGGCTTGTACTCGTCAGTCTGAAGTAAGGTTCACCAATTGCATTTAACTGTGATGGTTACCTAAGTCCTTTAAATCTCAAAAAGATAGCCCATTTCCCCATTTTCATCTTCCTGGCTCACTGCTGGAACCACAGCAATAAACTCAAGAGGATGTGCCACATTCTGAATTTGCTTGATGGGTGTCTCGTAGTGGCATTTACATATCCTCTGGCCTCAATTTTGCTTATAAGGAGAAATTTAGAGCTAAAAGCTTTCAGGTCAAACTTCTGTAGTTATACTGAATACTTTACGCATGGTGCTGTGTACTTCACATCATAGCTTTCACATTTGCTCAGATCAATCAGCCAATTCCAGTGGTGTGGCAGGCTGATCTATTTTCAAGTACACCATCTTCCTTTCTACTAATGTAATGATTCTCAATCTTGGTTGCACACTGCAACCCCCTGGGGTGGAAGTGGGAGGGTATGGGACTCAGTCAGCAGAAGTGTCTAAAACACTCCCAAGGTGACTCTACTGTGAGGCTAAGATTAAGAATAGAGGTTATTTTTCATACACTGACAATCTTTGCTTGAATCAATGATTTCATTAGGAGCTGCAAACTGGTGGTTTTTCTAATTTTACTGTTCTTTCTACAGTGATCAGTAGGAACTCTTTGGCATATTTTAGAAATCTTTAGATAGCTAGGAATGACTAGGGTTATTTGGCTATTCTGAAATAAAATCTGTACAGGACAGGGAGGATAAACTTTAATTCTTCTCTTTAATTACTAGTAATTAAACTGATTTAATTATGAGTAAGGCAGTGGTTCACACACTGCAGAGTGGAATCACCTAGGGGTCTTTAAAGATTATTGATTTCTGGTTTGTGCCCCAAACTTTTGGATTTAACTGTACGTGGGGGAGGCCTGGGAATAAAATTTTAACAGCTCCACAGGCAATTTTAATGTGCAGCGAAGTTTGGGAACCTCTGGAGTAAGGTGTTGGCACCCAAATTACCTCCAATGGTGATAAAGAGTTTGGTTCTTGCTTATTTTGGCAGTGGTCGTTGCATTTTTGTTGACAGAAAAATGTATCTGATCATTTTGAGGCAGATAAGAAGAAAGAAAGTAAAGCTGACAGGAAACATGACAATTTTATTAAATTCCAAGATCAGGCTGATCTCCAGTTTCCATAAGAATTAAATAATATAATGGTCAGTGGTATGCTGAAGTCGTCATGCAATATTCCCATTTAATGAATATTTAATAATTATTTTTAAAATAACTTTATTAATCTGTCCATAAAGCTTACGATACAGGGAAATTAGAAACAATTTTTTAAAAGCCTAATAACTTCTCAAAGTTTTAAACATTCATGAAGATTTATACTTCACATGTCACTATCCACTGTTAACACAGGAAGCACAGACATGCATAACAGTTGGCACAGGTAGGGATACATACTATTGGGACCCCGAGAGTTGGCATGAAGATCATCTTAAACTACAGATACTGGAGATTCAGAAGATACAGAAAGAACTCCTTCTGGAGCTTCCCTTATTTCATGAAAAGCAGAAACTTCTGGGAGTGAGGCTGCCATGGATCCCTTCTGGGGGAGTTTTATGGAATGAAGGGGAGAAAAAAAAAACAACACAGAGACCACTCACACCTGGGTAAACAAATGTCATCACAAACTCTCGGCTCCTGTTTGCTCCCCAGAAACCCATGTGTTCTTCCTACAGAAGCCTGTCTGCCTGCCTCCTCTCCTCTATTTAGGTACATAATCCCCAACCATAGCCATCTGGGGAGCTACTCCTTTGGTGAGCTCCAGATGTATATGAATAATTGTTTTCTTCCTCCTATTAATCTGTCTATTGTCAGTTAAATTCCAGTGACATAATCTAAGAGGATAGAGGGAAAGTCTTCCCATGTCCCACATGCTGTTGCTAAACATTTTTGGTGGGCAATCTGACATTAATGCCAAAATAAAAATGTACACACTTTTGCCCAGGCAGTCTCCTGTAAAAAATGTAATTGACAGAGACACTCAGACAGATGTGTAGAGAAAATTTTTACCATTGTTTGTCAAAGTGCAAAATTGAAAAAAAAAAAGTTCACTAATAAGGGACTGGTTACATGAATTTTCTAAACAACAGACAGCCACTGAAAAGGAGGCAGATCTTTGTATATTGATACAGAAACACGTGCATGGTTTTACTATATTGTTAAGGAAAAAAACTAAGTCATAGAACAATGTATAATATATCCTCATTGTATTAAATACAAAACAAAACAAATGCAAATGTGTGTGGATATTTTACACACATACACACACAATCTCACACACTAATTTACCAGTTTGGTGCATCTTATTTCAGATTTTCTTCTACATTGTTATGTATGGGGGAGCGGCGGGGACCATGGCCATGGTATGGGGAGATGTGGAAATGAAGAAAAATTTTACCTTTCACTTCAAATTCTTCTAGACAATTTTTTCTTTTAAATAAGCATGTCTTACTTTTGTAATAAAACCTTAAAAAGTGTAATAAAACATTAAAAAGTTAAGCGAACTTTTACAGAGGTGATCACGAAGCTATGTTGCTAAAGGCCTGAAAAGGCTGATTTTAATAGAAATTTGTACTCCTCCTGGTATTCAGAAGAATAGAAGTAAAATTTTGTCATTTGTACGGTTTACAGCCATAATAAATCATAACATTCAAAATTCTCAGTAAAATAACAGTCCTTTATACATGATTGCTAATCTAGCATTCTATTTATGAATATGTATAATACAACTTCCTATTGTATCTCCTTTATAAATTCAGTACATTTCTACTGAGGCATAAAGTGTTCCCATTTAAGTTTGCGTCTTATCTCATGACGTGCTGATGCTTTTTTGTGTTGTAAATTACTTGCTCCAGATGGAGAAAAAAGAAAGATAAATTGACTTAAGGCTAGTCTCTCGTTTATCTTTTATCCTCAGTATTTGTGTTTATTTGTTTTTAAAACCCATCCCAGTGGAAGAAACTCATGCTCATACATTTTAGAAACAAAACTTAAATATATAAAGAAAATTTAAAACTTAACTTTTATAAAGCCTTAAGTTTAGTAGTATGTTAGTAACTCACGTCCGTGTATACCACACAATGATGAGTGGCATGGAGAGCACGTTAATGTGGCATATCACACATTCCACCATAAATACATGTGGCACTGCTAAATTAAATAATCTGATCAGCTTAAAGTTTCTACTTTTCCACCATCTTTTTCCTTTCCTTTCACCTTTGTTGTCAAACATCAAATAGTTGAATTGCATGGACTCATTAATATTTTCTCTCCTACTTATTGTGAAAGACTCACCCAAGTCTGCTAATCCCTTAGTGCCTTCTGGGTCAACCAGAAATTTTATGCTCCTATGTCTTTTGCTAACTTGTTCTTTACTAGCGACTCCAATCCTTTGGCCTGTTCAGCTTGATTGGGAGTAGTAACTCCCAATCACCTACTCAACATACATTAGTATCTATTCCTGCAACTGTTTCTTGAGTACTTTCTTCAGATCAAAGTGAGCCTGATTCTCTGATCTGGTGGGAAAAGACACAGCACCCCAGCTCTGTAGAAGGTTCCTGGTCCTAATCTGTAGGAAAGAGGAGGGGAGGAATGGAGTCTCTCGCTGATGCCACTCCCCTACCTGTTACACAGAAGCACTAAAACTGGCAACCATCTAGACTGGTAATTCTTCCTCCCAAACAGAAAAACTGAAATTGTGATTTGTGGCAAAATTCACTTGACAGGATGTGGCTGGAGGATTTAAGTAACAAGCCATGATCACTTTGACAAAAGGACTCAATTTATGGCTTCAACAGCTTCATCCTCGTGGGTAGCGTACACTGTGTATGGTTATTATTATTATTATTTAGGACTGAACTGGTGTGCTTTTTCTTGAAAGAGAAAGTTCAAGATTTTTTTCTTTAAAAGATATCCTCCATAATATGGTCCATCTTGAAGAAGTATAATTACACATACATACATTTGCATTCTCACTTTCCTCAGGTCTTTACTTATTATTCTAATATATATTTTCCGTGATTCTGGAGTTTAGTTTTCGATTTTATCATATGTGTTCTTAAAAGTTACCTCAAATTTTGGTGAAACATAAAAGAGATTGTACAACTCCATATACTGGTAAGAGATATGAAGACGTGAACCATGGAAAAATGGCAGGCTAACAACAGAGGAAACAGAAAAAAACACTAAGACAACATTCCCCCTTCACTCCTTTTTAGCAGAATATACATAAAAACACACACAAAACCCAAGGTCATGGGAAATGCAAGGCTAAGGAAAACACAATGCCCAAACAGAAAATGATAAATTCCTCTCTTCATAAAAGACAAGAGGATGTGCACTTGCGTTTTTAGAAAGTAGGTAATGCTGGTAAGCTAGAAAATACAGAATAATGAAGAGAGAAGGCAACAAAAAGGCAAGATAACAACAGAGCATAAATGCTTCCAAACAACTTTTATTACATCCAAGGAAGCTTCTCCTTAAGACAGTTTCCCAATCAGCCGAGGAAGATAAAAATGTTCTCAAGAATGAATGGTTCTTCCCCATGACTTGGGAAGTTACCTCTTTGAGTGCCCAAGGCTTTGGCCTTTTCTTTCCAATAGCCTATGATCCCTGGTACAAGTTAAAAATCAACCAACCAACCAATCAAAAAACAAGGAAGCTGATTCTCCCAAACTGAATCATAAACAGAAATCTCCTCCTAGGGCATCGAGCTCTTTCTTAGAAAGCGACTCTGCAGTAAGCTAGCTATTTAAAAACAAATTCAGCAGTTGGTCTCAATTTCTGGCATTTCAACAGAATATAACATCCTGAGAACACCTTAGTAGGCAGGGATCTCTCCCAGGTAGAGATCAAACCACTGCCTTGCTAACAAACCCTATTGCTGAAAAGCTTTTCAAGTCAAATTTGTAATACAAAAATAAGGAGAGGGAGAGTAGAGAAATTGTCTTCAAGTAAATGTTAAAGAAGAATGAGGAACAATAACAGACCTTCAATTCTAAACCTTTTCATGTAATCTTTCTTTTTAAAGGAAACCAAGACAATCGAATAAAGTTGTTTGTTTTTTTTTTGGTCAAGACCTAGCCTAGGACAAAACAGACCAAAGACCTTTTAAATATTTTTTATATTTAATCCACCCCTACCTCATTCTGGGTAGGACCACTAAATTCTAAAAACAAGATTATTTTCATATTATATCCGCTATCTCTGCATCCAAAGTGGTAAAGAGAAGACAAAGTTAAACTTTATAGTAAAAGTAGCAGCGAAACTGTCATTTTATCCTGTTTACTTACAATCAGACTTCTAAAGGGCATCTGTAACTGCTTAGAAAAAGGAACAGGAAACAAACCAGATTTGTCTCTTTTATTCCTACAATCAAACTTCAATTTTCTACCCTTATCATTATAGCTCATTGCCATGGTTACAACTTAAATGCCTTAAGTATGGCTGAAAAGTAGGGAAAGTTAAGAAAACACACAAGTAACATTAATATAGTTAAAATAATAGAAAGTGGATTAACTATTACTTGTATTTGCTGTGTTTGAAGATTAGTATACTTTCCCCTCCCTGCAAAAGGCAGGTAAATGTAACACCTCCCAGGTTCGAATACGAATTTGGGCAAGAGTACTCTCTGACCAAAGTGAGGGGCGAAATATAGTTATTAGGTGTGAATTATGAATGTAGCCGTGGTGAGGACAGATGAATACTGGAGTTGTATTTCCCTAAGACTAAAGTATCTGAGGCACTATTTTGGAATATATATAAAAATATGAGTATACAGTGTTCATACGTTAAATGAAATACATGAATATAATATTTTATCTATAATATTTTGTCTATTTATCTATCTATATTTTATGCATTAGTAAGTCATGAAGATGGCAGTCAAATGACTAAAGTTGAATAAATGCACTGGGGTGCGGGGGAGGTAGAAGGGACACCGAGAGCCCAGATACTCATTCCCTGTGATGTGTCTTCATCATTTAAGCTCGTTCTCTCTAGGTATAAATAGATACCATCATACAATGTGCCTGCCTGGCTTTTGGTAGTAAAAACCCACAACTGCCCCCTCCAGCTCAGCTCAGCCAGGATGTTTCTCCAGCTCGACTTTATGCAGCACTGCTGGTGTGACTGTGTCTCCTGCATGGTTCCAGCTAATGCTGGAAAACTCCCCCTGCCCTACCTTGCACCATGGCTCCAGTTTGGTGGCAAAACCACTGAGCCCTCTGTCCCTGCAGTCCTAGACACGGTAGCAGCTTCCAGGTAAGACTATTCCCTTGGGTGCCTGGACCCTGATGGATACAGCTATTCTCCTTGGGCTACAAAGAATTCTCACCCATCAAGCCCTAGCCCTCCAACAGAAAAAGGTAATATATAGGCTATTTCCATATTTTGTAGCTAGAAATATAAATGATGACACTAATGAGGGGGTATGACAGGACTGACCTCATATACATCTAAAGGGAGGGAGAAGGAATACAGTCTTTTTAGGAAAGCAACTTGGTTATACACATAAAGGGGCTTAAAAATGTTCATATACTTTCAATAATTTTCTTCCTAAAAAATCTGGCCTAAGGTAAATCAAAGGTGCAGATGTAGTTTTATATACAAGGATGTTTAACATAATGTTTTATATAACAGTGAAAAATTAGAAACAACCTGAATGTCCAATTATGGGTAAATATGGTATATACTTACAGTTTTCCTTTACAGAATTTCCCAATTTTAAGTGTACAGAGTTATATACCTCCACTACACCTGAAACACTTAAGAGGGAAAACATTTGCTTTAATCATTGATAACTACGTGCTAGCCAACTAGGCTCTCAAGAAATATTTTTGGAATAAATTAATGATGCAGTATTAAATATGAACTTGCAGGAGAATTTTATATTAAATGGTACATTTTTGCCATAGCCAAGTACTAAATGCAACTACCCTGTGTATTTTTCTTTAAACTGAATTTTTCAAATCACTTTTTAACAGTTCATAGATAGCACTGCGATTTCTCCTGCGGAATGTTTAAATCAGGTGACTCTTTGTTCAAAGGACTTTCAGTGGCTCCCCATGACCTGCAGGAGAGCTCAAAGTCCCTGGTATTTACAGATCTCTTTAATTTGACCCAGTGTGGCTGTCTAAACTTCGCACATCTTATCTCTTCCCAAACCAGTTTTAAATGTTCCCACAAGACATTTCTGTCATCTCCTCTGCTGCCCAATGACAACACCCTTGCTACCTGTCAAGAGCCCCAGGCTACAGGCTCATCTTCTCTGCAAAACTATCTCAGAAGTGGATTGTCCATTTATAACAATGTTTCCGATACAATACTTACTTGGCAGTTAACCACATATTCTTTCATGGCATGTCTTTCCTTGTATTAAATTGCTGCTTGTAAGTCTTATTGTTACGCAGCTTTTCACATGCCTCTGCCTAATCTACGGTTTGAGTAAAATACTACAATTCTTGGGAACAGCTTCTTTATAAAATAGCAGAGGGCCTCGTTTGCACTATAAGTAACACCAGGTACCTGGTAACATCTTGGTACCGGTTCATGTAAACTCAGATGCCAGGCATTTGGTGATTTGAGTTTTACTCCTTTCAAGCCTTATTTAAAAATTGCCAAAGTATTTCAATTTCAAGGCCTATTCCAGCACTTACACATTGCTGGCACTGTCCTTTACATCATAAACTTCACAGGAGGTGAGGGGCACGTGTATGTCGTGTCCATCACTGTCTGGCCAGCAACGTGGACAGTACTTGGTCCATGATGTGGCTGCTCAGCGACTTTAATGAGTGAGGACTAAGTATGAAGGTATCAAATATCTGTAAAAATGGCAGGCACTGTCTTTAATGTAATTCATCCTTTAAAGGAGGTGAATTTAGGGTAAAAAGATAAATTGCATGAGAAACTTCCAGACTGTATTAGAAGATACCAGATAATCCACACTTGGATACATAAAGAAAATGAACACTTCACGCAACTCTTGAGTGTGAGAAACACTGTGAAACGAAAGACCCTGACTTACACAACTGATTAGCCAACTTGCCCAGATTATATAAAAACCTTTGTGAGGGCATCCCTGTGCTTCTTCACGATAAAAAAAAATTCAGATATTGAGGTGATAATAAAAATGTTAACGTCCAATGCTTTAACTTCTCTACAGCTGATGTATACAAATCTACTCAAGTACTTAAAGAAAAATTAAGCGTATTAAGAAGTACTACTTCAAAGCAAAGTATCTCGATATTGTTACTATTAAAGGTTTTGCCTGGCTGGTTTCACAAGGTAATGAATTAAGAAAGCAGGCTTTTTTTTTTGGTCTGTGCAAAACATAAGAAAGATTTTTTATATGATTCAAAACTCGTACCTGTTGATCTCCAAGGAAATGACTTCTCAGTTGAGCTAGAGAAAAAGAAGGAAAAAAAGGGAACATTTACGTCCTTTGTCATAAAATTTAACTGTGGATCTGTTTTGCATATAAACATTTAATTTTCATATTTAATTATATTAAAGTATAAAAACCACAAATGAAATTTAAAATTACTGTTCTAAGTTAATTTTTAGATAGTATTTAAGCTTCCACATCAATGTGGGACAAAACTGTATTACTACTTGGAAATTAACGCAAGTTATAAAGTGACATATGATTCTCATTGGCTAAGATAAATAGAACACACAACTAACTGTGACATGGTGCTTTATATGGGAAAATTAATTTGAAAACTACATATAGATGAAAACAACATATATATTATACATTGTACAACATATACACTGAAAAGAACCTAAAAGGCTGTCAAGAAGTTCATTCAATTTACTCATTTTCAGAAGAAACCCTAGACGCTATAATACACATGTACATTAATGGGTTTAGTTTGAATAGGATGTTACTTTATCAAATTCAAATATCATAAAACTTTACATCAAAGTATAAGGTTTTACAAGCCAGGAGAAAATTTTAACTACATATTTTTCTTCATTTACAGAGTACTAATTAAATAAATTCGTGCATAAAAACATACCTGTACCTTCCTGCTCCCCCTCAAAAAATACAAGAAATACAAGATAGCATCATGCTGAGGGGATAGTGTGGTAGACATAGAAACAAGAGGCTGGATTATTAAGTATTTGTTAAATACTAGAGTAAGTACCTCACATGTATTATCTCCTTTATATTATTCACAACAACCTTATGATAGATATATTATTATCATCTCCATTGTACAGATTAAAAAACTGGCCAAAGCCTTTTATGCTAGTAACTGGAAGAGCTGGGATTCAAACCTAGGATGGTTTGATTTCAAAGCCAGGGCTTCTCCCCACTGTGCTATATGGTAGAACAGCTTGTGATCCCATTTTTGCACCGAGTACACACACTTATACACATATACACATACAATATCCCCAGGAAGAAGTGGAGAAAAACAAAAACCAAAGTGCTAGCAGCTATTTCTGTGGAGTACAACTAATAGGATTTTTTTTCTTTTCAAACATCTGTACTTGGTTTTTTTTTGGAAATCAAAACAAACCACATATTGAACATATTGAAGTATTTTGGGAGTGTTTATTCAATTTAAGGAAAAGGTATGTGACTTTGGGCTTAGAAACACTGTAAATTAAAGAAAGGAACAATCCTCTCAGTGCTGTAGTTGTCAGATTTTAACTTCCTGTTAACCCATTGATATTTTCCAAGTCAGTGAGTGGTTAATTAAATTCTGACTGCTTAAAAACTCCAGATTCATTAGGAGCTCCCGAACTTTCATTTTGTCAGTGATTTGCCTCTTTGTCACCAGAGGCACATCAGTTCACATTCCAGGACTTTGAAGGGGCTTCTGCTGCAAGCAGGGTGCAGGCTTCTATGAATGGAGTCAATCAGTTAATGCTCATCCTCAGCACCCGGTGAGGTGATGTTCTTTACCTGATGCACCCCCAACTGGTTTCAAAATGACTGACTGGGGGGGGAGGAAAAAGATGAAAATTTGGTCAAATATCAACAAGGGCGCCTTTGTCTTGCTCCTGAAGATATGCAGTCACATTCTTGTGACTTCAAAAGGGGTCCCCTGGACTGAATTTCTGTTTCTCTTGAATATGTTTTTATTATTTAGTTCTATTACCTCAGTTAATTTTCTAAGCACTGAGGGATTACCCAACTGTGTTCCTATCAACATGTTCATATTTTTTGTCAATACTAAAATACATGGTAAAACAAACTGCCAACCAGAAATATTTAATACACCTCAGGTTTGTTGGGAAGGATAAAGCCTATTATCTTCTGAGTTTGAAATTTACATAAACCTTAATGAAATACCGTTACAAGATTATTTACTCTTGAAATTATAGATCACAGAATACAATTCATGTTAAGTGTTCAGACTGAGTGAGGGCTGCAGCTATTGTGTCCAACTCTCTAAGTCAAGTGCCCAACATATAGCTTGGCACACAGAAGATGCTTAATATACCTTGTAACACAAATTGTAAAAAAGCAACACTGAGTTCTTCACTGTTCTGAAGATCAGCTATATGTTAATTATTACTTACTACTTTGTTCAAACAGGTCAAATCATTCTTCCCCCACTCTAGGTAGGAAATTCCAGTAGCCTCACTGTATAACAACCAGGCAAACAGCATTTTGGCTATTGAAAAGACCTTTAGTCATCACAACACAATAAGGCATTCCTAGTTGAAAGCAAAGCGAAGCCTCAGTTAAAATTATTTTTCCCTACTCTATTGCAGGCGAATAATAAAAATCACTGGGAAAACAAGTTAATACTGAGCACTAAAAAGAAGCAACAAGTTCCATGGTATATTTTAAAGACTATATATTCAGCCCAATTACCTTCACACTAATCCCACAATTCTGTGTAATAACTGGTCATTATATGTTATTCAGAACAGTCTATTTCCTTTTGAACCACTTACTTTATATGATTCTCAAACTGTTCACCACTCTGGGATTCAGGGAGCAGACAGTAAATACATGCAGTTTGGAAAAGCTGTTTTAAGTCACTGAATGTTTTAAGTCACTTTTATTGGAACAATAAAATGAGAGGCAGCTCCACGTTAGACACGGGCGTATTCCTTCTTCCCTCTCTCCCTCCAACTCTCTACTCCTAGAAAATACCGCCCCAACTTTCACTGAATGTCTACAACATGTCCACAGGTCCTGTGCCCACAACTGGCTCCATCTCATCCACTTTCATGTCTCACCCGAAAATGCTTCCACTGGAATATGAAACATTTAAAAATACAAGAATGGAAAATCATCCATAACTGTTTCAGCAGGAAGATGCACTCACAATTTCCAATAACTTAATTA